ATACATACATACATACATACATACATACATACATACATACATACATATTTCCATTACAGATAGCAACTCAATAATTGGGAAACTCTTTGTAAAGAGATACTAAAATAACCTATTTCATATTTTAATGGAGTAATTTTGCCTTGAATGAAAAATATCGATTTGGTCATAGTGAGTTTTATATTTTGAATACAGCACAGTCCCACTGTGAAAGAAAATTCTACTGTCTCAGACTTAGAGGGCTTTAATTTTAAATATACTAAGAAATAGTCTGAGGCTGAATTTATGCATAATTCTGAGATCTTACAAACATATTGTATCCATAAAAATTTGTTGTTATATGAACACATTGTAATATATCTTCAGGCCTTATTCATATAAATTCCAAAAAGCAAATTACAAAGGCAAATTATTATTATTAGTTAGATTTAGGGCCTGTATTTTCTGTAGAAACTCATGGCAGCTTACTTATTAGACTTTTATTCCAACACCATCTCGTGAATTGTGTTGGGCTGAAAATGATTGGCCCAAAGCCACCCAGTAAGCTTTTATGGCTGATGTGAATGTGAGTCCTCCTATTTTTAGTCCAATATGCAACCATTATATATTTTCAATCTGACACGGTGGCTAATTTTTATTACAACTTCTTTGCCTTGCTTCTAACTTTAAAAAAACCTCTCCTTAAAGGCCATCTTTTTAAAAAAGTGCTTATCTAGAACTCAAAGCAAAATGGCTATGTATCACTCATATGATCCACAAATTGTAACGAAGGACAGGAATATAAATTAAGTCTTTCTAATGACCTGGTTGATTGTTATCTAGAATTTTCAGTTTCACCATAAATTTCAGTCATTGGTTACTATGTTTATCTCCTAAATTAAGTTTGTTTTGCACAGAGTACTTTCTCATTGAATAGTTTATGAAAAACTGGCTCTTTATTTAGAATTAATGAGCAGAAGTGGTGATCCAGCTCATTGAATTTAATCAGGACTTGCTACACAATAGCACTTTTTTTGGCCAGCAGCTGCTGAAAGCTAATTTTGTCTCATTCAATTTAGACCAGCTAAGAATTTTGGTTTCTTTCTGTTCTTGAAAGACACCCTACTAAGTACTTCCCTTAGAATCAAAGCTTTCCCTCCCCATCAACTAACCATCTGATTAATCACCAAATCAATGGGTTTCTATTACCTTAGTTTTGTTAGGATGAATCTCAGTGACCACAGGATGAATCGTGTCCGTCTCATAAGCAAGCACCTTTATTTATAACCCAGCTGTGGCAGAAACTCATACAATAAACATAATCTGTAAGAAATCTTTTGTTCAAGCAAACATTAACTATACCTTATGATGTACACACAATTGATCTAGTCAAGATATCCCTTAAAAAGATAAAAGATTACTCCTGTATTTCCATCTTTATAGATTTCTGGGCTGTTGGCATTGCTGAATGGTTTTGTCAGACTGTTTCATATCTTTTTGATGGTTTATGACTCCTTGGACAAATAAAACTGCTGATAAATGATTCCTAAAGGGAGCCAAAAGTTTAAGTACTGTGGAATGAAATTCTGATATATAATAATTTTTATGCATAATTATTTTCCTTATTAAAGCAAAAGCCTCATTATTATATTGGTCACAATATAAAAGGCTCCAGAGTTTAAAAAAAATAAAATAATTTTAAGGTCTATCTGTTTGTCTCAATAGACTGCCAACAGATTTGGTCTCCAAAACAGCAAATATTGCAGATAACATTGTTTGTGAGATTAGAATAAGGACAAAATCTTAATATGCTTTATGGTTGTAGAATTTAGCCTTATGGGATCAAAGTTGTTGTTTTGCTAGAATTCTTATGTTGATGACTGAAGCTAGGTTTAAATAGTAGCCAAAAGGCATAGAATTAAGAAAGGGAACACTTTTGGAAATATGCTCAGTTGAGTTTCAAAGAGTACTTTTTAGTTCTTTTCCTATAAACATTTATTCTTGGTGCCTCTCATTATCCATTCTTCATTTCAACATTCTCATTTTTGATAGAGAGAGAATATTTATTCATCCTAAAGAAACAATTTAATGAACTATTTAAAAGATATCTAGATTATCTGATACAATGAGAGAGTTGTCAATTAGAGTGAACACTGTATTTGCTTGCATTGTGACAAATGGAATGTTTTGATTTTATTGTACGTATATAAATTTATTTAATAAAGTATTTTTTTTAAAAAAAAGATATCTAGATTTTCCCAAGATATAGTGTATTTTTTGTCTACCTCTAGATCTTACAAAGAATGATGAACTAGGAATTTAAATTTGCAAAGGGAAATCTCAGTATAGAAGGTCAGGAACTCTGGGGGTTTGATAAAAGCCAATGAATCACACTTCCTTGACCTGGTAATGTTTATGGAGACTTTAGTCTAATAGAGCTTGAGGGTCTCATAGTGAGGAAGGGTGAATTACTTTATAGAAAAGGCTAGCTTGATGATGATGTATAACTCCCAAGATCTGAGTATTGATTAGACTATTGATAACTGAGGTCATATTTCAAATGTTGGATATTTTTCCAAAGTTGTATGTTTAGTATATAATACTGAAACAAAAACAAAATAAAGAAAAAAGATATTTCTAAAATATGGCAGTTTTGTGGGGTCATATTTAGAATACTGCATATATTTGGTAAATATGCCAGGACCCTCAAATATGTTCTGGCTTTCTTGGTCTATATCAGGGCTGTCAAAATCCTGACCCACAGGCTGGATGCATCACGCGCTAGCCATGCCCATGCCTTTTTTTGTGAAGGGGAAAAAAGTCCCGATACTTTATGTGATGCTGCCATGATGCCGTGAGTTTGACACCCCTGGTCTATATAGTTTGATTTGTCCAAGAGGGCTTTACTCATACAGAACATTTTGAAAGTTTGCAAATCTTTGGTTCTCTAAACCTTTAAACTTTGGTTCTCCATTTCTTTCTTCTGTCTGAATGGTACTGAGATTAGAAAAGAAGACACTTGGGGAATTCATTAACCTTAAATGTAGTTT